GGCAATATTCGCTTCACAGTCGGGCAATATTGGCTTATTATAAAATAAATGGGACAAATTCTGTCAATTTTGTGGGAAATTCTGTCAATTTTGTGGGAAATATGCTATCTAATAGGAATTTTTCGTAATCATTCTCCCCCCCCTTCTCCCCCGTCGACAACAATTTTGGAAAGTTTCTCCGGAAAATTTTTTTGACATTGCGGGCACAATCCAAAAAGTCGGGCAAATTTCTTTCCGCCCCCCTAATTTTTTCCTTCCCGTACGCCCATGCCACGGGTGGCCAGGGCTAGTATTCCAAAGGTCGTAGGTTCGATCCCCACCGTGGTCAGGCATATTTTTCAAGCTTGCCCTGTGTGGATATACACTCAGAGTAACATCACAAGCATCTTATTCACCTGAGTACATTACACCAACACAGAAAATATAATAAATGATTCATGAAAACATAACTTTTCCATATGATTTTCAACTTGAGATATTTGGCAACTTGTTTTGACAATTCTTGTCTTTCCTTTCTTTCCACTTTCTTGGCTCCCATTTTCACATTTGCTGCTAAATTTTCAAACCGCAAAATTTTAGTAATTTATGTGTAATTTCACCAGCAAATATATGGAAGGTAAAAGCATAATGGAACTAATATATAGCATGCGTATTCATTGTGCTTTTAGGCATGATTTTATTGGTCAATTTTCAACCACGTTACGAGAGATGAATGACAGTAGACAACAAGGGATCACGTGGGAGGTACGTGACATCACTTAAAACACACGTGTTAAACTTAATTAAGACGTAACTATCTAACTAAAATTCTTAATTCTTAATCAATTCTAAATATTTAAACTGTTTATAAACATGCCCTCTAAGAACATCCACTCGGGTTAAAATTCCCTATAGTTAATCTATAGAAATAACACTAAACTTAATATATTCCTGTTTAAAGGGATATGGCAATATAAATTAAGTTTGTCTTATTTGAAAGAACATTAAAAATGATATATAAACTTCCTTTACAGTTATTTCATATCTTGCTTGATTTTCGAAATAAATCGACTTATTTTGATCAAAAGCAGCGTGCATTCCGCCATCTTGGATATGCATTCGATATGCATACATCACAAGTAGGGTAAAAAGCGAAATTTTTATCCCGCAAACCCGACATGTCATTATCAATATGAAACTCGATTTTCCGAAGTCTTTTATAGTACTCAATTAACTCGCAACATTTTAAGAAACGTTTCGAAGAAATTTAGTCCCACATGAAGACGTTTTAACAAGTTTATCCTACTTGTGACGTCATCAAAAAGTCAGTTAATTAGGTGAATTATAATACCAAGATGGCGGACTGCACACTTTTTTGGTCAAAATATTTCGAAAACCAAGCAAGGTACGAAAAAGTTGCAAACGGTCTTCATATATAACTTTAAAACTAAAGTATGTATTTACTGTAACAGGTGATCAACGAACGCGACGAGTCGTGTTGTGGGTGGCAATGGTTTAAAAAATTATCTGACGAGTGTTTTTTTGAAGTTAGTAAATCAAATATAGTAAAAATATCGGGTAAAAACTATCGATTGATTTGCCACAACCTGTTTAAAACTCTAAAATTTATACAACTAACTTAAACGAATAAATGAAATTAACGTAACAATAAATATAAAAACTAAAACGTGAAAGTGGACTACATAAAAGCGTTGTTAAAATTTCATTTCTTATGATTAGTGGAAACCTTCACCTCGGAGAGAGGGTTTACCATATCTCGTAGTTAAACCAGAGTTCAAGTTTTATCCCAAATTGGGACATCCATTTGAATAATGCAAGTCATCAAAAATGTGTATAGCATAACCTGTTGCTATGGCCAGCTTCGCCACTGACACTGTACAAAGTTAACGTTGTGTGAATTGCTACTTAACTATTGTCGGATCGAACTTCTGTTGTAGGTTGTCAATCCAAAGAAACAAGCGAAGAAAAAGAAAAAGTACACAAATTCTGGAACTGTAAGTGATAATATTATGAATACTTTACATTACTTTGGGTTGTTGCTGCTTTAGTTTGACTTAACTTGTACGGTTAGACCATGGATAATAAAATCACTGGATAGGAAACTCGTCAATACGAAAAATATAGGAAAATGGAAAAAAAACGCAGTAAACTTTATACATATTCTAATTTCACACATCTTTACAAAGCGAAATTTGACATTAATTTGTCAAGTTTTCAAAATAAAATTGCACGTACCATGGGCGTGGTCATCCAATTTATATATTAAACTTTCTCTTAGGTCACTCTTATGCAATGCATGGTCGAACAACAGCCAACCTTCCTCGATTTTATTAGAGGCGGGTGAGTATATTTGCAGTACTACTCTAAATGATTTTTATTGTGCAACTTAATAAGTGACTGCACTGATATATAAATACCAGCACATCGAACTTAAATGTAGCAATTCTTCCTTTTCTCTTTAGAACGCAGATTAACTTTGTTGTTGCAGTTGATTTTACGGCATCGAATGGTAAGTGTAACCATTCAAAAGATGAGATTTTCGAACGAAAATTTACATACAATTTTCGGCCTAAATGTCCAGACACACCGGACGCGATTCGACAACGCGACGCGATTTTTCGATTTTCACTGCCCGATAACTTTGATCCTAGTTTAAATTGTCCAAATATTTAGAAGCGCTATAACATTTTGAGTTATTTGGTCTACATATCTTTTAAAATTTGCTCACATTGGCTGTTTTATTAACTTTCAAAAACTAAAAAAATCGCGATATTGGGGGTTGTCTGCAGAGAAGGTATATTGCTTGTTAATTTAAATTTTACATTTGCAGGTGCGCAAAACAATCCTAATTCACTTCACTACATAAATCCATATGAACCAAATCTCTATGTGAAAGCTCTGTCGGCTGTTGGCAGGATCTGTGAAGATTATGACACGTAAGGGAATCATTTCTTTTGGTTCATTTCTGGTGTTTTAGGTCAGCTCAGGTGAAGCTCAATGTATAATTTAATTTTACGTTTCAATCTATACACATTTAAATTTATTCAGTTCATTCATCTTATAGAGACAAACTGTTTCCCGCGTTCGGCTTTGGCGCCAGACTTCCACCTCACTGGCAAGTGTCTCATGAATTTGCGCTGGTAAGATCCATTCTACTTGCAGGGGTGGAAAAAATAGGCGAGCACGCGAGTTTGAATGAAGATTTGCTATTGAAAATTTGAAGGAAACTGTAACACCCATGTCTCACTATGGGCGCAACAACATATGATTGACAGACATTATTCCTCGAATTTAAAACCATGGTCAGTTAGAACACTATATGTTTATGTACATGCATATTTAACACAAAAATACTCCGTTGTCTTCAAGAAATTTTTGTCTCCAGGTTTTGTTCCAAGGAAGAAAATTCTTTTTTCCTGCCCAGTCTACTTGTTTAGGACATTGCAAGCATATACTCCCATTTCCACTCAAGAAAAATTTCCACGGACAGAACGTTCCGAAAATATCATTGTTAAAAGTTGAAAATTTTCAACTTAAATTTTTTTTCCGACGGAAAATTTGTGTCGGCCAATCATAGTTTACAAAATTTTCTTCGTGCGGAAAATTTTCCTGAGTGGAGATAGACCTTAATTTAATAAGTTTCTAATAGATTTGCATGGCGAAATATATTCTCGATGCAATTATATTCTCGCCTCTTATTATATAAATAATGTTTTTTTTATCTGTTAAGAATTGGAATCCAAGTGATCCAAACTGTAATGGGGTGGCTGGAGTAATCCACAGTTATCATGAATGTATACAGAGAGTCCAGTTGTACGGTATGTACCTCGCGATAGCCAAACACCCTTACTGAGCCAGTTTTCCACTGGGCGAACGTAATTTAGCTCTCGTATAAATCTCACAGCTTGTCAACAAGATGCGTTCGCACTGCTTGTTCCCAGTTGTTGACAAGCCTAGAACAAGTTGATATCATCTTGTAACAAGGTTGATGTGGCTGACAAACTTTGAACAAGTTGTTCCAACAAATCTTATATCGTCTGCACACAATACAGGTTGTTAATAATTCGATAAGAACAAGCAAGCAACTTGTTACGAACAACTTGTATTAGTCTTGTTGGAACAACTTGAAGCAAATCTGTTACCGCCATCAACTTTGAAACAGGGTGATAAGGCAAAAAAAATGTGGGTTTCCTATTTCTTCTTGTGAAACTTAGGTAGGGTAGGTCGGTTTTAACTTCTTTTTTTTAACTTTTTTTTTAATTTTCCTAAAAAACCGGACACCATTTTGTTTATTCAGTGCTTCCACATTCAAAGATAAATTTCCCTAATATTGCCTCAAATTTCCATTTTTCACAAACGTTTTCCTCTAAGTGGAAACACTTACGAACATGATCCAATAAAAAAGTTTAGGGTCGGGATTTCGGCGTCCAAAAGCTAGGTAGGGTCGGGAAACCGGAAACCCACATATTTTTTTTTGGCCTAACAACTTGTTCCAGATTTGTCACAACAACTGGGAACCATCAGTACGAACACATCCTGAGATCGGCTTGATAACAACCCTGTTACAACTTGTTTGCAGATCTGTAATATAACGACTTGTGCTTTTTTATGCATGCACAAAATTTATTATGTCTATGTATGACATGAAATTGTAACAAGCAACTCCGTCTCAATCACATGTAATATTTCCTAGTTAATGTTCTTGTTCTTGTTCTTTAGGGCCAACAAATTTTGCTCCTGTTATCAACAGCTGTGCGAGGTATGGTCTCATTTTTGCTTAAAGAAAATAGTTTTAAAGAAACAGATTACAGTACCCTGCCATACTTCTACTCGGTTAACCGACACGATTGAAAATAGAATGTTATATGTAAAAACGTCCAATTTTGTGAGATGGCCATGCTAATCCCTTGGCTTATAAAATTGTTTGCTTTTCAGAATTGCAAGTGACAGTGTCAGACGAAATCATGGAACCGAGTAAGTTGACTGGTTTGAAGAGTGTTGCCGTCGTGACTTAGAGAGTTTCTTATAATTTCTGAAGTTGTTAGCCAAGTACTCCAGGGGCCGGTTGTATAAAAAAGTGATTAAAGTTAATTGTTATATAGCTAGTGTGAACACCAAACGTGATTGGCTGATTTGTAGTCACGTGGCTTTAGATAAATGCAATGTATCCCGCCCGGGCAATAAGTGAAAAATTGTTGCACGCCCCGACCGGCTACGTACATAAATAAACAAAATGGCGGCACAAATTTATACTATTTAAACCACTGTTTTCATGTCTTTGTGTTAAAATAAAGAATGTAAAAGAGAAGAAAAATACATAACAGGCAACAGGATATGCTGCTGAAACCATTTAAGTAGGTTTTTAAAATTTTAAACTCGTTTACGCTGTAGAGTTTTTGTCATGAAATACAAATATTGTTGTATGAATGTTGTTCAATGTTGATATTTGTTTCGTCGCTATATAACAAAACACTTAACGTCTTTTCCCTCGGGAAATAGTTAGTTTTGTTTTCCCTCGAATCTCAATGTTTCCCTCGACTTCGTCTCGGGAAACATTGAGATTTTCGGGAAAACAAAACTAACTATTTCCCTCGGGTGCAGACATTAAGTGTATACTAGAAATACATGCATGCAGCAACCCCTCGCCTTTTTTAACAGATGAAGTATAGAAATTCTGTTCAACATCAAGTACTCCATGTTCAAAATAATAATAGTCGCTATGGTAACATGAAAATAATATGAGAAAACAATAGGATATAATTTTTTACCAAAAGAATCGTTGATTTTCATAATTTGTTATTAAAAGGAATATGTTATGTGGCTTTCAATCGGCTAAAAGTTAATGTAAAATGTAACGGTAAAGCGTTTCGAAACTTTGCCGTGGAACCGCAAGGGAAGCTGAAACACTCGCTTTGTTGGCATTATAGTCAGTAGTTTGCTCGAAAATACGGTGAAATATACTTGCTTTATATAAGCAAAAGCTAGTTTTTGAGTTATATTTTGGTGAAGCCATATTTGCTCAGGTAAAAGACCATTATAAACACGCATAAAAACACGATAAGCTGTATTAATTGCCCCACATAAACAATATTTAAAATCACTACATTTATACATTTTCATGTAGATACCAGCTTGCATAAAAATATATTATATATTGAGTTGAATGGCATAAAAATTTCGCCGATATGTGAATAAAATCGAAAACACAAAGCATGCAAGTACGGTATGAAATTTTAATACTGAAATGTTTATAAGTTTTATAACACTTACCCAAGATAGCCAAGAGTCAAGACAACGATCAAATTTTATATTGAAACCATCTGGTTCGTCTTCGACAAAATTCGTGTTTTTCAGCCTATGCATGCCTTTCACACTTTGTTTCACGGTTGACAGCCACTAATTCATGAAACTGCAGGCTTGTTTCCAGTTAAATAGCGAAATACATCGCAAAAAATATTGTAAAATAGCAAGTATCTTTCCAAAATGAAAAACAATTTTTTAGTGCGAGCTATTACACGTGCATGCGCAATAACGTCGAAGACCGTCCATCACATAATGGAGGACAACTTTGCACTTCGCTATGTTTTCAAACACCCGGGTGTAAATAGCCGGGCGGAATTAGTACCCTCGCACGGCGCTTCGCGCCGCCGGCTCGGGGATTATAGTTAGTGGAAACGTCATCCAATAAGAAGCGCGTATTTGAGAGTTGATCACTGTTTAAATACAAAATAGTGATTAAGAAAGTGATTAAGAGTTTTATACAACCGGCCCCTGGTTTAAAAATGTAGCTCTATACTGACTTCACATGATTTTGTAGTTGACCTGAAACACTTGAATTCTTAATTCAACTAAGTTTTAAAAAATTTGGAGTTTGCTTTTCATACTATAGAGGTAGCGTCGCTCCATGGTTCTCTAACTTCTGCAGTCATGGTTGCGCTTTGCGTTTTCACGAGTCATGGTTTCGATCCGGCAAATAACACAAAGACCTGCCTATAGTTTTATACGTTGGGTGTGATGCCTGATTGGAAAATATTGTTTTTTATCATTTAGCTATTTTGTTCTGCTTATCCTGACTGATGGAATTATATCTGATATGGCACAAACTAAAGAAGCCATTGTGAATGTAAGTCAGTATTGCACATGTAAAGCACGCGATTACCTGTTGACAAATGTTTTGTGTCAGTCGTGGCTCAAGGTTGAGGATGATGGTCTTCGCTCAGTATATGGTTGTTTATGAACTCGCATATGGGCTTATATGTCCAATCCTATCCTGTAAACGAGGTAGTTCAGAATGGCAAATCAGACCAATACTGTTGTTTTTCTTCCCTTTGGGCCTTCGAAGGCGAAGAGCCTTCGCTCGAAGGAAGACGAAGAGCCTTCGTTCGAAGGAAGACGAAGAGCCTTCGCTCGAAGGAAGACGAAGAGCCTTCGCTCGAAGGAAGACGAAGAGCCTTCGCTCGAAGGAAGACGAAGAGCCTTCGCTCGAAGGAAGACGAAGGGCCTTCGCTCGAAGGAAGACGAAGAGCCTTCGCTCGAAGGAAGACGAAGAGCCTACGCTCGAAACAAGACGAAGAGCCTTCGCTCGAAAGAAGACGAAGAGCCTTCGCTCGAAGGAAGACGAAGAGCCTTCGCTCGAAGGAAGACGAAGAGCCTTCGCTCGAAGGAAGACGAAGAGCCTTCGCTCGAAGGAAGACGAAGGGCCTTCGCTTGAAACGTCGAGTTTCTGCTTGTTCTTTTCAGGTAGTAATATAACCACTCAGCACAGCATTTTCACATTGGTACTACCCACACTGGTACATACAGTTCTTCTAATTATGCACTTGGTTTCGAATGTTACTATTCCTTTACGGATGGTTGATCGCCAGAGATTCATGTCTTTGGTGCTGGTAACGTCCATGTTACATTTCTTAATGTTGGCGGCGTCCAGGGCATCCTGAAAGGCCGTTTTCTACTTCAACCGTATTGTGACGTGACGTATCATAGCATTTTCTTTTGTGTCAAAGTCATTAGCTCCACTCTAGTGCTGAGGAACCAAAAAACGCTACGCCAACGTACGATACGGTTGAAGAGGAAAACGGTCTTAAATCTCTTTTTAACTACGATTTTCAGGCAGCATCTTTGCCGATGTCGATTATTATAGTTGGAATTGGATCCGCCGATTTTGATGGTAATTAATCCCTCTTTGCATGTATGTAACCATGGATAATAAAATAAATGGATAGGAAACTAGTTGACGTGACCTAATGTTTTCAATGGGATGATGGCGTGGTTGGATGTTGAAACCTAGTTGCAAACCAAATTCTCAAAAACGGCATGTTTAGCAATAATACAGCTAAACATTTTAGTCAAAGAGCAAATAAATATAACTACGCCATTCTACGATGAAATCTCTAAGTATTTCCAGTCAATTTTAGAAAATATTTCAAGCACTAAACAGTGAAAAATGCATCCCAAATTTCGTTAAAATTGGTGACGCCAATTTCGTAGCCACAAATGTAAAAAAATACAAAACAAAGACGAAAAACATTTACCTTGAATACTTGTCGTGGCTTAGGCATGTTTTTAAAACAATTAGACCAGTTTATGCTTCAATGTTACTCTTTTAAAGCGGAAATATAGCGAAACAACAGAAATGCCGAGAACTTTGGCAATACGCGTGACGTCACAGATTGCAACTAGGTTTAGACTGTGACGTCAGCTAGACAGCTAGAGTCCTATCCATTTATTTTATTATCCATGATGTAACTAATTTAAAACACCTCAATATTTCCTCTCTGAAACTCTTTAGCACTCAAGAAAGTAGAAATATTCAGTTTAAGCGACAAAATTTAATCATTTTTAGCGATGGAAGTTCTTGATGGAGACGTGGTCCGTCTTTCTTCCAGAGGTCGCGAGGCTGAACGTGACATAGTACAAGTAAGTGTTCAGTCAGTTGGCACTTTATTAATTTGCATTTTTTGCGTCATTGATTTGCATTTACTGCGTCCCACATTTGCATTAATTGCGTTATTGGTTTGCATATTCCGCGTCATTTGTTCGCCTATGCTGCGTTATTGATTTCAAAAATTTATTGCGTGATTCAACGGTATCAACGATTTTCGTATTTTGTGTCATTTGCCTTCGAATTTTCCGTTTTTAATTTGCATATTTTGTATCAGTGGTTTGCATATTCTGCGTCATTGATTTACATATACTGCGTAATTTGCATATGCTGCTTCGTTGGTTTGTATTTTCTACTTTTTTTATTTGTATTAGTCGCTTAATAATTTGCATATAATGCTTATTGATTTGAATCTACTGCGTCATGTAGTTCGTTCCGTTCCGTGATTACTTGGGCGGCCATAACAATCGTGGTGACGTAACGAGTGGCGCGAGACTGGCGAAAGACGTTCTGGAGGAACTGCCGGATCAGTTTTTAGAGTACATGAAGAAACGCAGCATTAAACCACGGGAACCAAGGTTTTGAAATGTCATTAAATCGGAGATGTAATGTTCGGAGATGAATATGGCATACCTTAATATCTGGAAATATAAATATCAGTGGCTAGCAGGGAGAACGGTCTCGGGTTTATATAGTGTCCACAATACCTTATATATACATCCTGTTACTAAAATAACCATCGTCATAGCGATAGTTTACGGTACTCCACGAAGACAGACCGAAGCATTCTTGTTAGTCGACTGGTAAACACCGTTTGAGGACGAGTCGTAGAAAAGGGCATCCTGAACACCTTCTTTTTCACGCCTTATATATTTCCGGTGGAATGACCATGTGCGGGCAAGAAACTGTTTGCCACACGGATTATCCCCCCCAAAATCTATGAGGCGGGAAAAGGTTAGGCTGTTCACGCTAGGAATTGTAAAATAGAACAATGGAACTAATGTATAAGCCAAACAATATTTATATTTGGCATAATTTTTGTGAAATAATAGCAAAGTGTATTTTACAAACACTCTAACAAGTTAACAGGGATTAGCTAATATAGTCCTAAAGCAATTATTTATGTATCAACTGTAAATTCGAATTTTGGTAAACTTAGAATTTAGCTTAAATGAATCTGGACAGACTGGACTAATCCTTTTCCCGAAATTAACCCTTATCATAATATGTTTCTAACAAAGAAGTGCTTGTAAAATTTTCAACAGATGGGGATCCAGTGTAGGTATTATTCTACACAAGTTGCCGTGGTACGGTGTGTCTAAACTACATGAAAAAGACTAAACAGTTGACCATTTTCGACATTTCGAGCGATTCCCTCGTCACGAGTTTGGTTGGCGGTTTATCAAGGCTAATATGTCATCATTTTGAAGACATCTAACTGAAACTAACCCATTGCAATGATAGGAAGATTGCTATAATCCACACAATATTTTTATATCATTCGTATTTAATACGCAATTTACACAGTTCGTGAGTACATAGTGACATACTCTAGACGGCTGATAATTTATGTTTGACACAGTTAAGTCAGTGATTCATTTGGTATGCAATAGATTTTTGACTTTAATTTTGTCATTGATAAAGTTTCTATAGATCACATCTCATACCAAACATTTTCGTTCTCCAGCCTTTTCACAACTGCAAAAGAACACCCCTCTTTATTCGATTCCATCAACCCATATCCCTTTGGATCTTATAGTACCCTAGTTAATTACCACCTCAGCATTTTTCCGAAACTTCTTCTCAGGCCCCATGTCGATAGCCACGGTCTTATTCCGTCCATAGCGCTTATCCGTATACCGGAGTATTGTCCTAGGGGTACCAACCTCCGGTATTGTAATCACCCTTGGAGCAGATCGCACATTGTCCACGTGATCATTATCTTTGTTCACGTGACTACTACGTTTGTGACTACTATTTTTGTTCACGTGACCAGCATTATTGTTCGCATGTTCTTCACGTGATATTTTCAATTTTTTGGCCTTGCCTTGGTTCTTTGTTTTAAGGAATTTGTTCTCAAAAGTTTTTTTCCCTTTCGGTTTTATGCTCGATGGATCCATGCTGAGGGTCCGTAATTGAGCTGGTTTTCCAGGCTCTGATATCCTTTCGGAGTCCAGAACTTGAACTGATTTCCAACGTCTCTGTAGATCGTTTTTGTAAGTGTTTAAAATAAGGTTGCGTGATTTTGTCATGTTGCTTAGCAACGATTCGGATGCTCCCGTTTTCTCATCGTAATTTAACGTGAGATTGTTTTCCTTCAATTTCAATATGGCTGTCATGTCTTTAGCTTTGCTTTCGTCGTTCTCGGCTTTCTCCGCATCATCCTCGGCTTTACTCGTATCGCTTTTGGCATTCGTCGTGTTCTCCTCACATTTCGCCGTACAATTCTCGACTCTCTCCGTGTCGTTGTCGGGATTCATCGTGTCATACTCGTTGCACTTCGGTGGATATTTCTCTCGGGGGCGTGCAAGTCTTTCAATACGGTTAGCACTCGGTTGTCGACGAAACGGGAGATTTTGTGAGAAAATTGCCTTGCCATTGACAGCTAAATTTATCCCGATGTACGGTGGCGCATCTACGAAAGGCTGAAAAAAACAATGAATTTGTTGATCAAATGTGTTTTATATTTTAATTCTAAAAACCCTGGGGAGCCACCTTAATTCTACTCTGCCGACACTTTGTTCACATAACATACTCGTATGAACCACAAATGAAATTGGATGAAAAAATGTTTAAATAAATTGCGTTGCAAGTGGCAGCAAAAATTTCCTCGAGCTGAGTAAAGCCTGCCCATTGAACTGAATAGAACTGGAACGCTACCTCCAACCGGAAATTTGAAGTCAAACTTGAAGACCAGTCCCAGTCTTTTCATGCATACAAAGAGCGTTCAGTCAATCATGACATAAACACGCGTGATCTGACTTCCAGACACACATGTCTGGGGGTCAGATTTGGCTTGAACTAGCCAATGAAAACCCATAGTTTCTTCACACGACTTTGGTCAAAATGGCGACGATGGAGGGAAATGCAAACAATCTTACGTGCGCGGTGAAATACATAGCTGAGTTAACCCCCAAGCGAGGCGGTTAGCTCAGCAAGTTTCTCTCGTGCGCGACAGGCTTAACATGCATGCCTGACTGTTTTATGAGTTCTAATATAGAAATTGTATATATTAACCACCTGTTTAAAGGCGAGTTCAAATCTTCCAGTGTCACAGTTCCTATCTTCCCTTCTATCCAAAACCACTAAAATAGAAATATTTAAGATTATTATATAGAGAATAATACATGGGTGCGCGGAAATACCAGATTTATTTCGAGTGTTGAACATGATATCTCACGAGTGAGCGCAGCGAACGAGTGAGATATCATGTTCAACACG